CCGCCGTCGCGTTCGCGGCTTCGATTCATCGAGTCGCACGTAGGACGCCTCTCTGATCTGCATCAATGCTCTCCTTACTCCTTACTTCACACGTATACACATGCGTGCGCGCGCGCGCGGTCACATACATGTAAATAGGCGAGCTTTTTTACTTGAAAAGTACAAACTGTAATGAAAGGAGAAAGAATGAACCCGTAACTTCCTCGTACGTGTGATACGATCTATGACTTTGGAGTAGCAGTCGAACACAGTCAACGTTAACAGATTCACTTTGATAAGTTACATTGATAGGTTTATAATGACGATATTCGACTTTACTGAGAGAAAAGAGAAGTCTTTTCTCTTTAGACCGGTATAACTAATCACGCAGAAAGGTCCACACCTGCTTTGCGGATGGACGTAATGATTTATAAACGTACATGCACGTAACAGGATTTAAAGCCACAATCGAGATAGTAGTAATGATTTTAATATGGTTTACGTATGGTAAAGATATGTTTTTTCTTTGTGCAGTCATTATCCCACTCATCGAAGTAGAAAACCGTTACCAACAGAACCTCCGTATACTGCATATGTGGGAAATTTACCGAACGGAATTGTGCAAGGCGACGTTGACAAAATCTTCGAGAAGCTCAATGTCAAAGTCATCAGATTGGTCAAAGACAGGGACACCGACAAGTATGTATTGATTGTAGGAGAGACAGGTGTATATGTTGACCCAACGTTTTAATCTCTTCTTCTCATTTGTAGATTTAAGGGCTTCTGCTATGTCGAGTTTGAAGACTTGGCTGATCTGGAGGCAGCATTGGAAATGGACGGGGCGGTAGAAGTAGACAAGTGTCTGATCAAGATTGATGTAGCGGAAGGAAAAAGAAACGACCGCGGTGGCGGCTTCGATAGGAGAGGTCGTGGCGGCAGCGGTGCTGGCGGCGGCGGTGGAAGCGGATTTAAAGGAGGACGAGATTCCGGCCGTGGATTCGGCGACGATTTTGATAGTAAATCCTCATATTCATTACACCGCTTTCATA